AAGGACTTCCCTGGTGGTCCAGTGGCTATGGCTCTGCACTCCCACATGCTGCAACTAATCGTTCACATGCTGCAATGAAGATCGAAGATCCCACGTGCTACAACTAAGACCCAGTGTAGCCAAATAAATATTAAAAAAATAATAAAAATGAAATTAGGGAAAAGGATTGCTTCCATTAAGAGAATACAGTAGGAAAACCACTTGCTCAAAGTGACTGAGAATTCTTTGAGAAATAAAATCATATAACATGGATTTGTGCTTAAAAAATCTCTCACCTTTTGTAGCCACGTGGCTGAGGTAGCCAAAAGTCAGACCCGAAGTCTGAGTGGTAGTTTGATAAATTACATGATCAGTTAAAATCATAACCTCACTGTTTCTATGCTGAAAGTCAAGGCAGTGGTGAGGATTCTCAAAAGTGAAATGTGGCTCACACTATTTCTCACTATGCTCACCCTTGTTTGTCTGAGGAGTCACTTTGCTTGAAGACCCCTTAGAGACTCTAAAGTGAGTTACCTGTCTAGAGGAGATGAATCCAATCTGGTGCTGTATCTAGACCTACTATGAGAACTATGATTCTCAATCCTGGCTTCACAATGGAATCACCTGTGTTGTGCTTAATTGCTCAGTCTTGTCTGACTCTTTGCAGCACTGTGGACTGTAGCCTGCCAGGCTCCTCTGTCTGTGGGGATTCTCTAGGCAAGAATCCTGGAATGGGTTGCCATGCTCTCCTTCAGGAGGGCAATCTGGAGGTTGCCTGGCAATCTTCTCACCCCAGGGATCGAACCCAGGTCTCCTGCCTTGAAGGGGGATTCTTTACTGTCTGAGGCACTAGGGAAGGCTGTAATCTTAGAAAACACTGTCTCTGGCTTTCATGTCCAGAAATTTTGATTTAATTTTTCTGGGGTGCAATTTACTTGGGTTTTAGCAACTACCAGAGCATCTAACTTGCAGTCAAGACTGAGAACTACTGAACTATAGAGATCAAACCCAGTATGTCCCCAGGTCAGATTACAACATAAAACCCAGGAATAGCATTTTATGCAAAAAAAAAAAAAAAAAATTCAAGATTTAGCTGATTCACATCAGCACCATGTTATTTAGAGTTACTGAGAGATTTACATATGAGATTTTTCTTTCCCACTTATTTATTCAATCACATATATCAGCATGGAATCATGGATATTTATTTTATGTTTAATAAAATATATAAATAAATTATATGGGTTGTTATCCAGCACTGCTTTTACTGTTTAAATTGCTCCAGCTTTAGTCAATGGGAGCTCTATCACTTGGCTTCTGTGTCCCCTTGACACTCCAGAATTGTGGGGCTTTGTTTTTCAGCACTTTCTTACTTTCTGGTGCTACAAGATGCTCCAGACTTTTCCTGTATTAATACATTTGTTGTCACAGTCCTAGAATTAGTTATTTCTCCAAGGGACTCTGGTTCCTTTTATTGGAGAATAGTATTTGAAACCAAGAGCTGAGAACCAGGTGTAATTTTTATATCCTTCTACAATAAAACAAATAAAACCCCCAAATTAAATTTTTTTAAAACTCTGGGTTCCTAGGGTCAACCTTGGAATCCCTTTCCAGGCATCCTTTGAGAGTTGGGTTGGATGTCATCCTGATCATCATCTGTTTGGTGACTTCCTTGCAGGTGAGCACCAGCCTGGCTCAGGTGGGCATTGATAAAACTAACATTTGACAGTAGTAAGTACTCAAAGAGAGGAAAGTAAAGGTGCACAAAAGAAGGAGAAATTAATATAGTGGGGAGGAGCTGGAAGAAATTTCAAGCCTTGAGAGTAGCTCACGGAGTGTCACTTGAGTGCAGACTCGATGGCTGTCATCATTTAGACCCCATGCTTTTGGGCTTCTCTGGTAGCACAGCTCATAAATGTGAGGCTGCCAGGGCTAACACCATGACAGGCGGCCTGGACCTAAGTTTCGGCTTCCCCTGAAATGGTAAGATTCCCCTACCCCCATCAGGCAACCTGGAGCCAGCCAATCAATATGTGCCTAGTAAGAAACAAAGGGAAAGCTGAAAAGCCTGCAAACGCCCAAGTTTGAAAAAAGTCCACAAAAGTTTGTACCAATAGAATTGCTTTGTAAACATGTAACCAATCTGCTTAAGCCAACTACCAACCGCTTATGCATACCCTATAAATTTGGGTAACAGCTTGGGCTCCGGGCTCTCTGACCCTGCACCACTGCGTTGGATGCGGCAGGAGCCCTGGCTCGAGTCAGTAATAAACTTCCCTTTTTGCGAATTGCATTGTCTTGGAAGCCTTCTCTCTTCCTGCTTGGGGATTCGGACATCGGGCAAAACAGTAAAGAATCTGCCCACAATGCAAGAGACCTGGGTTCGATCCCTGTGTTGGGAAGATCCCCTGGACAAGGGAACGGCTACCCACTCCAGTATTCTGACCTGGAGAATTGCATGGACTGGGGTCACAAAGAGTTGGGCACGACTGTGTGACTTTCACTTTCAACCTAAACCAACTTGCTGCCTGACACACAGCAGTCCTCCATCAGCATCCTGCAGATGGTCCCACTCCACTGAGCTTTGAGAAGCCCACAGAATATTAACAGAGCCCTCAGTTTGGGAAGCCCCAAAGTAGTTCTCCAGCCCTTCTGCTTGTCCTAGACAGAAGAATCCTGCCAAGTGTCTGACATTATTCTGTGTTTTTTGGAGACTTCTGAACCATCCTTGGTGACATCTCCACCAAAAGCAGCATTTGGGAGATTACCTCTAAAGGTGAAGCTATCAAAGGGGTCCTCCATTCAGCTCTGGTCTAAGGTGAGAGGAGAGGGGACAGAAAAGAGCAAAGTAAAGGCCTGGTTCCAGGTGTGTGCTGGTCATGGGGAGACAAACCCAATGAAGAGAAGGGCTAGGAGGCAGCTGGCTCTAGGTCAGAAGGTTCAAGCAGTTGTGTAGCAGTTATGAGGTGATGACCCCTGGCTCTGATGGAGGGTGGGAGGGGTGGGAAAGTTACAAGGGGTGGCTTTCCTGTGGGCAGCTCACTGCTAACAAAGATACTGAAGCTAGACAACCCAGGTACATGCTAGGGAATAACAAGGGTGCCATCTTGACAGGAGAGAGGAAATAAATAAGGAAGTGGTGTCTGGGAAGGTTTTGGAATGAGATTCTTACACCTGGGCCCCAACACATTTTGTGGTCTGGACCCTGAAACTGGGTGCAAAGCTGAGAGATTGTGTGCATTTTCCAGGACACAGTTAACAGAGCATATATCCTTTTCTCAAACGTTGAGGCCCACTGCTGTTTCTGGGCAGAGCGAGTTAAAACTCAAGTGGCCTGGGATGGGAACTTACAGTTTATCAACCTGGCTTCATGTCCAGTGGCCTCTAACTCACTGGGGCCTCCTAAAACCCTTCCTGGAGGGGGAAAGGGGACTGGTATTATCAGTTTCATTCGACTGAAACTGACAATTTATTACTTTTCTACAACCCCAGGGGTCCTCTTGGAGGTATCTCCCTGATTCCAGAGAATGAGGTACACAGCTTAAGGTGAGTACAGTAGACCCTGATTCATTATCCAGGGGAGACCTGGTCCCAAGGGAAGACAAGGCCTGGGGAAGCCCAAGGGGCACACAGCTAATTATAATTGCCAATACAAGTTTGTGGAATGCAGTCGGGGTCACCGAAGGGTTTGGGGGCAGAGAAGAGACCACGGGCCAAAGGCCTCAGATTTTTTTGTGTCAGTTTCGGGAGGACCGAGAAAGCAATGCTGCTGTGAGTCTGGGAGAAAGGTGACGGGCACCGCGCGTTGCCTTTTGACTCCTCGGACCTGCTGCAGACCCGAGTTCGCTCCCACACTTCCATCTTGAGCCTCACAGGCCGCACCTCGATAGGATGCTGCGGGCGGTAGGCACGGAGGCGCGGGTGTCCACTTCATCCGAGCTGGCACGGTGCCTGTCGTTGCTAAGCCCTTTTGGACTCAAAAACCTCAGATAAGGAGATCAAAGCCCAGGTGGGGGTGGAGGGGCCAATCCTGCCGCTGCTAGCCGGTCCCCAGCGGCTCCCGAGCAGGGCGTAGGTCAGCAGAGCCGGTGTGCTAGAGCGAAGGCCCACAGGAGCCTTCATCACCCACCCCATCCCCCCGCCCCAACTCGTTCCCCGGGCCACTGCCGAGTAGCCCCGTACTCGCTGGGCCATCGATCAGTCCAGGAAGTGCCCGCAAGGTCATCTGCACAACAAAGGCGGCCCCAAGCCGTGCCTTCAGTCTTGTAAATACCAGGCCTTGTCCCTGGCGAAGCGGAGACTCGGGAGAGAAGCTGCCCGAGAAACCCCGCCCCAACTCCGCATCCCTCCCCCACAACTCCGGAGCGCATTTATTTGAAATGTTAATGTTTTGAAGCTTCCCTGTTGGACTGGATCGGCCTCCTTAAAAGAAGGGTGAAGCCTCTGGGCTTAATAAACAAACCGGCGTTTGACTTGGGTGGGAACCGGGTAAACATTTGTTGGTCTCAGAGAGAGGCAGGTAAACGAGGACAAACGCCGGTAGATTATTACACAGCCTCGCCAGTCGCTTTAGAAAGACTCCTCTGTGCACCGATTCCAGGAGAGAGACGTTTTCCCAATCTACAGACCCTTATTTGCACCCTTCGGGCTGAGGGCCCCGGCGGAGCGGGGAAGAATCCAGGCCACAGGTAGAGGGCGGGGCGGGGCGGGGCGGGGCCTTGCTAGGGCGGAGCCAAGCCTAGCCCCGCCCACGTGTTGCCCGGCCGGATCCGCTCCGGAGGCTCCGCCGCGGAGCGGCCGCTGGGATTCCGGCTGTCGTCGGGTAACACCGGATCACCGCGAGGGTGTGTGTCTTTGTCCCGTATGTCTGAGCCTAACAAGTCCGGCCTCCGCACCGGGAGGACACAGAGGGTTGTCACAACCGGTGCTTGGTCTGTGTCTCCCTCTTCACATTCGATAGTTATCGGGTTTTTGCCAGAGTAACATCAAATTGGATTCTTTGCTCAGCCCAGCTGCTAGCGATGATAATGGTACCCGCGAACACTGGCCGCGCCGACACTCTGCCAGTCACTGTTCGTAGCCTTTCTCATGGATTAGTTTGTGATGAGGTGACTCAAGCCATCGACACATTTCTTTCTAGAAACGGGTACATCACTTACTCCCATTCGTCCTCTCCAAGTGAGAGCAAATTGGGGCAGGCGCATAGGAAATGGTGGTTACAATTGTGCAGGTATGACTCCAGGGCTGGGGGCGCGAGTGTGCTGGAGAAGGGCTGTAGAAGTCACCGGGGCGCTACTGTGGACCTGGAACGCTGCCAGGCCCCCACAGTTCCCTAGCTTCAACATTCTTTAATCCATCAAGTCCTCCAAAGCAAGCGCTACCCGGTCTTTCAAAGGCTTTGCTTTTCCCTCAACTGGGAAAATCCACCATAGGAATGATCCATTTTTCAACTATGGGAGCCGACAACACTCATACATAATGAAGCAAGTCACACAAAAGAAAGAATTACCTCCCACTCTCCTGGGAGAGGCTGCTCAGCCCAGAGACTCTCAGAGCTGCCCAAACTATGGGCCAGGTTAGGGTATATAGGGAGCAGGAGGGCTCCCACCCAAGAGTTGGAGTTTGTCACCAGAAGAAATCCTGGTCCAGGTTATTCATAAGCATTTCTTAGAAACCCCAGTTCCTGCATTTCTTCTGCCTCAAGCTGTGGATTCCCTGGCCAGCTGAGGGACTCAGGGAAGGGAAGAGGAACAGTGTAGAACAGAGGAGCCCACTCTCTATCCCAGCAATAGCATTTGGATGCTGTCAGAGGACCCAGTGGACAGGGTGGGAAGAGACTGTATATCACCTGGTTAACATTAGGCATTGTGGGCCCCAAACTGGTGAATAAGCCTGGTCTTATAGACACCTGTCTGCCCCTTGACCCTCAGGGTTCACAGATACATATCTACTAGGGTCTCCTAGATTTGTTATATCTTCCTTCAAGGACTAGTCCTTTCCTGACTTCAACCTGGCCTCTTCCTCTAAACACCTCCAAAATCTCAACCAGATTCTTACTTTTCCAGGTAGGCCTGGACCTCTGGCTTAAAACGACAGCAAAGGAATGGCATTTCTCTTTGTGGCTTGATATTAAGGGCCCAGGATAGTACATGCTTCATGTCTGTGACCTTTGGAGAAAGACACCTAAGTAGCTGGGTGACCTGGGGCAAATCAGTAAGTTTCCCATCAGCATAGTGGTTGGATAATAGAGCCAAAATCCCTGAAAAGGAGAGGTAGGGAAATCTGTGCACCTGGAAGCTTGCTCACTTGTTTTCTCACACACTCTACTGAGGTGCTACTGTATGATAGTAGCGATAGTAATGTCACTACTATGCTGTCATCTGCCCTGCAAGTGAAATACATGAAATCCAATCACCCTGGCATCCTAGCTTGGATGAGCAGCAGTCAGAGGCAGATTGACTTTCAGAGCAGGTGACAACCCAAAGGCCTGTCTCCTGTCACTGTAGCCAGGCAGTCAGCTAACACCACCACCTCACTGTTTGGGATGGATTCTGCTCCCAACAGGGTATCCCACTGCCTCCTGCCTAGGAGGTGAGCCCAAGCAGATCTTCCCTGGCATTCAATAGCCCTGTTCTGCTTCCACTGTTTCCATCTCAAGGATATTAATCTCTTGTCCACCTGTGGCTATCAGAATTCTTTTTCAGCACTTCCAAGATTAATACATACACCCATCATACCCATTTTTCAAACTTACTAGAAAGAGGCACAAAACTTCGAAACTGCCCAAACTCCACATGCCTGGTTTACTGTATCTACTTTTAATTTAGAACTATGGAAACACGAAATAGAGAATGACTGACTTATATGAGACAGTGTAAGATTCATGATAAGGTTTCACAAATGGAGAGGAAGAAAGACTTTTCAGGCAGAGGGGACTGAATGAGTTTTGCAGTGAAGGCTTGAGATCCTTGAGTAGTCTGATACAGGTAAAGAGAAGAGGAAGCAGAATGGGAGGTGCAGTCAATGTCATTGCAAATACCAATGGATGTGAACTCACTTCTGGTAGACAGTGGGGAGCCACCAAAGGTTTGTAAAAAGAGGTAAATGGTTTATTCCATTTATGTTTTACAAATTATGTGTGTGTGTGTGAATTATGTGTGTGTGAATTCATTTTTTTAATAAAAAAAAATTTTTAGAACAGTTTTAGGTTCACAGAAAAATTGAGCATATAATACAGAGAATGCCCATATACTTCTCTTCCCACCCCCAGTCTTGCATTAGCATGGTGTATTTGTTAAAATTAATGAACCAATATCGATACATTGTTAACTAAATTCTCAAGTTTACATTAGTGTTCACTGTGTTTTATAGTTCCATGGGTTTTGACACATGCAAAATATCATGTACACACCATTACAGTATCATATAGAATCAAAGGCGAGACGCACGCGGAGGACATTTGAGTCTGAGATGAAGCATGTATGTAATATTTATACGATGGAATTTTACGTTTTTATGTCAGCATGAAACAAAGGCAGTTTGAGGGGAAGCAGGACACCGCCGTGCTGTCTGTTACACTACGTATGCTGTAGTACCATTTTGTATGTTGTGTAAAACAAGAAGCATTGAACAACGCAAAAAGGTGATGTATGTATATGAGAAAAATTAATTGTACGATATCACTCCAGTACATTCTGTTGTACATTTTAGTCTTGTTTCCTTTCTCTTCATTGTTGATAAGAGGATGTGAACTGTACAGTTTCCAGCTAGTTACCCATATTAGAAAAGAAATAAAAGAGAGAGTCCTAGAAGAAAACAGGAAAGTACATTTGTCGATTGCAGTTGTCAAAAAAACAAACAAAAAAAAACTAGCCTAGCTGGCCTTATTTGTGAAGCATAATTGCTTTTAGCATATGGAAGTATTTTTTCACATTTTCTTTGTATAAAATTTGTATTAAACTTAAATATCTTTTTTGAAAAAAAAGAATCATTTTCCCTAACCTAAAAAAACCTCTTGCTTCACTTATTCATTACTCCTCGTCCCTCCCTGTAAATCTCTTGGCAATCACTCTATCTCAACTCATCTTGCTTTTCCAGAATGTCATATAGTTGGAGTCAAGTGGTATATGGACTTTTCAAACTGGCTTCTTTCTCTTTGTAATATGTATTTAAGGTTCTTCCATGTCTTTTTGTAAATATATTTTTTTACCTTTTTCTTCAATAAATATTTACTGAACTTTTATAGCAACTTCTATAGATTCTGTCTGTCCAAAAGAAACACAGTGCAAGTCACAAATTTACTTTTTCTAATAGCTACATTAAAAAAGGTAAAAAGGAAATGAAATTAATTTTAATAACAAATTCTACCTAACACAGTATATTTAAAATATTTTCAACATTTTATCGATATAAAAATTGAGATACTTTATATATGTTTTTTGTACTAAGCCTCCAAAACCCAGTGTTTTATATTTCCAGCACATCTCAGGTTGGACTAGCCATGTTTCCAGTGTTCAGTGGACACACACAGCTGGACAGTGAAGTACTGTGCTAGGGTGCTGAAGATGGAGCAGAGAAATAGAGTGGACAAGGTCTCTGACATCACACCATTGACAGTCTAGTGTGGGAAACAGATAGTAAAGAAGTCAACAAATCATTTTATACTGGGGCTTCCCAGGTGGCACTAGTAGTAAAGAATCTCCACCAATGCAGGAGCAGTAAAAGACTGGTTCCATCCCTGGGTTGGGAAGATCCCCTGGAGGAGGAAATGGCACCCCACTCCTGTATTCTTGCCTGGAAATCTAATGGACAGAGGAGCTTTGCAAGCTAAAGTCCGTGGGGTCGCAAAGAGTTGAACACAACTGAGAGTCTGAGTACGTATCATACAGAGACTGGGAAGCAGATTTAGATTGCCAGGGTAGTCGAGAAAGCTGTTCCGGGGCTGAGACCCAAATGAGGAGGCATTAACCATCAATTATCTATTGACACAATAATACTGTATAACAAACCACTTCAAAATTCACAGGCTTAATATAATAACTAGTTATTATTGCTCATGAGTCTATAAGTCAGCTGGGCAGTTTGTCTGGTCCTAGGTGGGCTCACATATGCAACTGTGAGTAGTTGCAGGTCAGGTGGGTGGCTATGCTGATTCTGATTGGGCTTGCCTGTTTGGGATCTGCTAGCTGTTGACTGGTGTAGGATGAGCTCAGCTCTTTTCCATATGTCTTCTCATCCTCTAGCCGGCTAGCCCAGGCCTGTTCTCATGGTGAAGGCAGGGATCCAAGAGAAAATGTGGAAGCATTCAAGGTTTCTGAAGGCTCAGGCTCAGAACTATTTGTCACTTCTGCCACATTCTTTTGGCAGAGGCAAGTTACAAGGCCAGCCCAGATTCTGGGAGGAGCTGCAAAGTCACATTGCGAGAGGTGTGTGTATAGGGAGGGATGGAAAATTCAGGCGATTTTGGCAATTCATCTCCCATATTACTTAAAGCTTTCAACACCACCAGGAAGTTATAACAATGCTGAACTTGTCTGTGCCCAATAAAATATCCTCAAAATATAAAAACAAAAGTAGAATTGTAGAAAAAACTTGACAAAATTTCCTCTTACCATGAGAGGTTTTAAAGTAACTTTTGCAATTATTGATAGGTCAAGCACATAACATAATAAGTAAAGATATGGAAGACTTCAACATAATTTATGAGGTATTTAGTCCACAAATATTTTCATCATGCTTTCTCTGTGTGAGGTATTATTGTAGGTGTGCTGAGGATATAACAGTGAACAAAAGTCAACAATCCCTATCCTCATAGTTTATATTCTACTGGAAGGAAATGAATAAACAAGTTAATATGTAAAACAAACATGACTACTACAGAGAAAGACAAGAGGGAAAGGATAAGGAGTGCAGGATGGCAGGGTGAGGGGTTTAAACCAAACACTATGGACAAGGTAGTTCCTACTGAGGAGACACGGAGGCCAAGACCTGAGAGAGGCAGAGGCGAGGGAGGGAATCTGGTGCTTATCTCCAGGACCAGTGGAGGAAAGAGCTGTACAAAGACCCTGAGGCAGGAGCTGGTTTGGCAGGTTCTAGTTATAGACAGAGGCAGGCTTGGCAAAGTGGGAAGGGATAGGAGTACTCAGGAGCCAGATCATGCAGGGCCTTACAGGCCATGGTAAGGATGTTGGATTTTAGTTTTGATGGTGGAAAGTACCAAGAGGCTTTTTTTGAGGGGAGAGGATCCTGGGGAGAAGAGGGCTGTTTCTAGACAAGGGTCAAATATCCAGTCCTTTAGAGATGGCTGGATACCAATCCTCATCAGGCAGCCTGTCCC